ACCTTGGCGCTGAGAAGCCCGAGGAAGTGTGTTCTCAGCTCGAGTATTTTTCCTGGAGTGTCTGCCCACATGGCGCCCGTGGCTGTGCTGACCTTGGCGACTCGAGGGCGGAGGGCGGAGGGAGGCAGCGGGCCCTCGTTGCGTGCTCTTTCAAATCAGCTGACACGCGGCGCTTGTTGATAGGAATCAGCTGATGCCTCAAGGGCGCGCAGGTGAGCGCGACCTCTGAAAAAGAAATACTTCGGAATAATATCCGCGTGTCTCCCATCACTTCCCCATCCCTCTCGCCCCCCCCCCCCCTTCTTACTTCCCCCCAAACAACCTCCGAGCACCCCCTCTCCCCACATCTCATCGGTGGACGTCCCTGAGATGCGGCGAGGTAAAGTGATCCCTACGACAGGAGAGCCTAAGGCAGCCAGCTGTGGCCTCGGCCAGATGGTGGGAGAGCCAGTCAGGCTGAACACACACACGCGACGTAGGAAGGTCGCTACCAGCGGACGTAGACGCCGTCTGGGATCGAAAGCACGTGCGGGCTTCAGCCCCCCCCCCCCCCCCCCCCCGGAGTAATTCCGATACCACGAACGCGCACAAGCACGGACGCATGTCAGAATCACGGGGTTTGCGCCCGCTGTCACGTTTTTGGGGGGTCCAGCCGAGGAACCCAGCTTTCACAATCAGATGGTTTGAAACTTGATGGTGATGACATGCATATACATTCAACTGCCTTTCGACGTGAATGGTAACTTTACGATAATTGATTTCTTTTCAGAGGTGTACGGAGAGCGGACATTAATTTCTCGCACATTCTTGGGGAGGGAAAAAAAAAGAGTCAAGGTCGCCTGTAAAGGGCACGAATTTCTTATATGTACCTTTTAATTCTTTAGGTCGGGAAGTCCATTTATTTTGCTGTTAGTATTTTACATCAAAAAAGGGTTACTTGTGACAACTATTTAATATTGATTTTTTGTATTAATCTATTGGAATTATCTCTTTAGTCGAAGAGTCGATTAGATTTGATTTTGTGCAGTGGTTATTAATGGGAGATTAGTTACGCTTTCTTTTTTTGTTCTTTGCCAAGTATATGTAAAAAC